GGGGTATTTGAGCTAGGGTTAACATGTCTTACTCAAGGACACATCCCAGTGCCCACCGACCTTAACCCTGTATCACCGACACTTGCTTGACATTATTTTTGAGTCTGAATTCACTACTCAGTCGGCCACCAGAGCCCCCCGAATCATTATATTGCTGGGCACTGTGATACAGTCAGCACAGAGTGTCAGGACTACAATCCCAAGAAGGATGAGAATTTTCAACAGTCCTCATTAAGATATTTATTCTCCCTGCCAACAATGCTGACAGGTACTGAGCCTTCAGAACAACCAATTTCATATCTAACAGAAAGTCGAAAAAAAAAAAGACACTCCAATCTACAGCCTAAATTATGCACTTTAATTTTAAAGCAAGTACATTCAAACCTGTCTGGACGACCACCAGTCCAAGACAAACGGCCATTTCCCATTTCCCCCCCTTGTGTTTTTTAAATGTTATAATGACACTATGTAATACGCCCATATGCCTAGGACAACCACTTTTCTCCTCAACTATGGGTGGCCGTCTTCGATGATTTCAACGGAACAACAATGTCGCAATAAAATGACACTCACCTCAGAGCAGTGACCGGCGCAATGACAGCATAACCTGTGCAAGTCCCGCCCAAGTTGTCCCCGAGCTCCCAGAACAGACTAACCACTGCTGCCTCCAGGGGGACCACAATGAACGTCATGGCCAGGCTGTATGGAGTTCGAGTCTCAAAGCCCACAGCAAACACCAATATAGTTGTGACAAGAGAGACAAATATGATACGCTGGGACACTAGGCCAAAGTATCGTAGGCCTGTGGAAAGATTATTGAAAAAAGACTGTAATTTCAATAGCACACTTCATAGCAAAAAAATAAGACTAAAGTAACTCACACAAAAAAATATGCAAAGCCCCCCCCCCCCCCAAAGCTTCAACTAACCAACTAATCCTGGCTGGATACAGAATGATGAGTTATCACCAGATACCATAGTCAAAAGCTTTAAGACATATTGAAGCTCCCCCCCTTCCCCACACACACATTATATATTAAAAGAAAGGACTTTGAAAGGGGAATTTGAAAAAAAAAGTCTCTGCAGATCAAACTGAGAGAATTATTTCAGAAAGCCTTGACTGGAACAGTTCGGGTATATAGGGAGCAATGTAGTCGAGCCTGAGATATAGCACATCACAGTGACCACGTAAAAGCTGAGCTAGTTTAGTTTTAGTAGAGGTTTTATGGCACTCGCAACTGCGTAAGGTCATAGGAGCGCCAGAAAATTAGGTGTTACAAGAGAGTAACAAACATAAAAAGAAGAAGGGGAGATAAGGACGATAGATGTTTGATAGGAAAGAAGAAGCAAACCACACCATAGCACCCACCAACCACCCACAAAGCTGAGCCAATCATTCAGCTCTTCATACTGAATGAGCTAAAAGGAGAAGATAAAGAGCAACATGAAATTCTGAAATAGCACGCACAAACCATCATTATAAAAGTAAGAAAGGAAAAGGGCAAGTTACAGCCCTGTTTTACAACAACATGTAGAATCATGTGTATTCAGGAGAATATATACAGCAAAACTAAACAGAACATGAGCAGTTCCCCTTACCTTTGGCAGCCATGATGCGGTTGAAGCTGCGCCTCTCGTCAGCACTGGCATTGCACTCGGTGACCTTCCCCATGAGCTTCCAACAAGTGAGAAAGGTCATGAGGTGGAACATGAGCCACATGAGGCCCAGCAGCATGTAGAGCGGAAGCACGATGTACCACTCCTTGTGCTTCGTCACGCTCTGACCCACAACCAGCACCAGCACCAACTCCACCAGGAACAACAGAAACAAGAACAGGTACCTCATGAGACGGCTCTTGTTGAACACAGCCCTCCACCTGTCAATCATGGAGAGCCCGCAGAAATAAAAATCAATCACTGCCTGGAATGCATGCCGGCCCACAAAGCAGGTGAGGGCGTAGATGTTCGGCTTCACTTGCAATGCGGGGAAAAACAAAAAGATGCCGACAAAGATGAAGGCGAGGAAGCTGAGGAGGCCCATTATAGATTTGAGCCTCATGGCAGATATGTGGAAAATGTAGGCTAAGGTGTAAAGGCTGAGGGCCACGCTGTCCACCCCTTTGACCAGACTAGCAATGATGAGCCCCACAGACTCCAGACCCTCCGAGATGGTCAAGAGCCGGGCTTCTACGGGCTGCAGCTTCAGCAATCGTTCCAGAATATTCCAACACCAGCCCAGCACCATGCTGGTCACAAAGGTAGCCTCCATGACCTCTTCTGTGACCACATACTGGAAGGAGGGGTTGTCGCTGAATGCTAAGATCCCAATGAGGCAACCCACCCAGACGTGAAACAAAGCACGGCCAAGGTTATCCATCCCAAAGTAATATTGGAGAGCAATGGATATGGCGAACACAAAAGCTCCTAGAATGGCGATCAGTGAAATGGCAAATTCCTCCGTGAAGGACCACTGTGTGTAAAGGCCGAGTCCCAAGGCCACAACGAGCACGACCTCAGGAATGAAACGGAAGTATACTAGACCCGTTTGGGCATTGGTGTTTTTAATTCCAGCCATCGTTGACGCGTACATATGAACTAAAAAGTATTTAATTCTTGACAAAGCACGAGAACTCCACACATTCACTCTATTCTTATAGTAGAGACACCTTTTCCGCTTGATGAGATGCTTTAGGGATGAAATTCTAATCCTGTGCATTTCAGCACTGCTCCAGGACGATCATTCTTTTGTTTTACATGTAGATGAAAACAATTCTTGTCCTTGAAAAACTGTACAAACACTTGATACTCATACCTGTGGGGGGGGGGAGAGAAAAAAAATTCAGCTGAGAAATAAAAAATAATTACAACAATTTACAAGCTCTTGATATACATAATATAATCATAACAGGGTCCACAAAACCATTCTACCTTTTAAATTATCAAAATACAAGTTTATGGGGATGTTAACGTTACATACATACAAGCACATTGGTCTAATTTTTGCCTACAGATTGACATTTAAGACATGAAAGATTTCAGAACTAGTCTGATGATAGAGTCAGTTGGAAAGATCCATGGAAGGTTAGGTGTAGATCTTCCCTACCAGAATCTAAGATCAGGAGTGTGGCTGAAAGACAGTGCCAGTGAGAAGGAGCCAAGGTGTAGCAGTAGAAAGGCTGCAGAGAAAGAGTCAGGAGCCCAGAGGAGGGGGCAATGGAGGTGAGAGAGTGGGAGCAGAAAAAAGAAAGAGGAGACGAAAGCAGACAACATAACATTGCTAGAGAGCAGGAAAGGAGGTGAAAGGAGACAATGTTAGAGAAGAAAATTTTCCGGTGGCTACCCGGATTCAAACCCGGGACCTTTGAATGAGAGGCCAACACCTCAACCTCTAGGCCATGAAAGTCCCCTTTTGAGGCTCTGTTACGGATTTGGTTGAAAGACTGGAAAAGGTTTGGGGTACTGCTTGGGGGTGAAAAAACTTTTTTTCAATTATTATTTTTTTAGTTAGATCTAGAATCTAGGTCTAGATCTTTAACATTGAGACGATCAGTGTCAGGGGCGAAGGCTGACTTGTTTGACAGGGTAATCAAAGTGAGACGGGACCAGATAGGGCCTGAAGATATCACTAAGAATCTTACTCGAGGCGGCAACACTGAGTTGTGAATTGTGAATGAAAACTACAAATCCTGAATTTATGTTGTATGCATGTTCAACCGCTAAAATAATCGGGAAAGTATCTCATTAAATACTTATCCCAGCAAACATAAAATTCATCTTTAGATGTGGATACACAAACACAAAGCAACGAAGCAGAGAGGTCAGTACTACACTACAGTATGTAATACCAGTGAGACTAAACTCTTTGGTAGAACATGACAATTAATAATTTTTTCATTTCACATTTGGCTGTTTTTGGATAGCTTTTTGCGGCCAGGAGCCGGTGTCATAAATCGAGGTCACGATCTGATTATAAGACTGTAAAAAGTCTAAGAAAAAAAAACAAGCACTCGCGGCAGTCAACATATTAATTAAATTACGAGTTAGTTCCCCTCACATCCGTGAGATAGACTCGACCAGTGTAATAGTTCGCTTACATAATCAGTGCTTGTGACTGCTTATAACTGTGGCCCAAAAGGAGTGAACAGGGTATATGTGGCAATGAAACAGTTTTGACTGTTGCACACATGTTCCGTTCAACTCTTTTGGTAGACTCTTCCAGCCTCACTGTGTAAGCTTACTTTTATCAAAGCTTGCGACTGCTTATGGAGTGGCACGATAGGGGTGAACAGGCTATTTCTGTGGCAATGAAACCGTTTTGAATGTTAGGCATACTGTTCATCGGTGATTATGAGCGTCTTTTTACATTTAATTTATGAGACTTACGCCTAAGGGTGAATTTGACAGTGGCAATGTTTCAAAATTTAGGAAGGGAAGCAGTGATTATTTGATAGACGCTTCGCCTCTGATCAGTGTTGAATCCCAACATCCCATAACTCAAAATAAACGAAATAAAAAGGGCGGAATTGGAAACGAAAAAAGCGGTTAAGAATAATAAGTGTCCAGAATATTTTCATCCTGGGTGAGAATACTCACACCGCGATTCAAAAGCAGAGTGAACACACACTGAGACTGGTTCATTATTTCACTTTTCTGTGCATTCCTCCTCTTTTTTTTGATCTCTTAACAACACCTGCTTTGACAAAAAATACATTCAGCTAAGTACAGGAGCTCAGTTCACACTATGTCGCGATGAACCACCTTACTTCAATCAAAGGGAAGGACTTCCCGTAACGAGTGACTACCCCAACAAACACAATAAAGAAGAGACCTTTAACCCTCCTAACCCAAACCCTCTATTCTACTCTGTCTCATTGTGGTCGCTCTTTACAGAAGTCCTCCCAATCAAAGCCTCTCCCCTCTGGGGGTGGGGGCTTGGGGAGGGGAATTTTCAGTTCTCATCCATTGTTTATACCATTACTAAAAGGGCATTAACTGCTCTGCCCTGCCTGTGATTTCATGCTGCCTGTTTTCACTTTCTCAGTACATGATAAACAAAGGCCTTCGATAAACAAAACAGAAACTACACGACATCATGCAATTAGGACATGTATGAGTATGAGTGTAGTGTGTGTATGTGCCTGTTAGCTTCATTTTCAACAACTTGGCCTTGGCTGTTTTCCACCATTCTGGTATTTTAGTTTGGAAGTGGCTATTCTCACCCAGGGTGAGAATAGAAATACGATCTACCTCTCACCCCGGGTGAGACTTGCCAGCGTAGGCTAT